AGAGCGATACCCGCGGACGGAAAAATCGCGACGTGAGCTGACCGCGGCTGGATAAATGGAATGGACCGGTAATAATGGGCAGATTGCTATCTTATTTGCAATCTCTTTCTTGCCCCCTCTCTCGTTCTCTTTCTCTCGTTCGAGTACACGTGTGACTTCCGCAGATACCGGATCGATACTCGCCGCGGAGATGCACGATCGAATTCTGCGAAACATACGACATGGCTGACGCTTACTGGCAAATGTTGTATTATCTGACGGCCATTTTGACGATTGAGACCAATTGTCCGTTGGGTGAAGTGTATACGGAGCAATTTATCAATTAGATTCCATTTGATAACGAGTACACTTCTGCGGTGCTACACGATACGGAGGCTCCGCGCGGAGACGTTCGGCCATATTAATGTGCGAGCAACTCCGCCACAATGGGACGCGAAGTGATTTTTTTTTCCTTCCATTTTTCACCCTCTCTTCCCCCCCCCCCCCACCTCACTCTTCTCTTCCCTCCTGTCTTCCGCGGGCCAGACTGCGCGCGGGGCAGCGATAATCCGGAATGTAATTAGCAAATACCTCGGCTGAATTTTCCTTCGTACGCGGTCATACGCGCGGCGAAGCAGCTATCATTTCGCCGGGGAATCGTGATAAGCAGATCGATACATATCTCGCAAATTAATCGCGGGCTCTTTGATCATTCGTCTATTCTGCCCCGACGCACACGCGATCGTACAATTAATTATTGACCGGTTTTAATCCCGTTAGGTCTAATTAGAGAGGATGGTGTCTCCCGTCTCAAAGTTGTTAATTGAGTTGGTTAATGCGATAAAGGAGTTCACAGTGTTCTCTTTTCCGTCCCTCCCGTCATGTCTGGGCGGCCCATTGTCTCTTTCTCCGCTCCGCCGTCTCGCTTTGTCTCTTCGCATTTACGACTTTCAGAGGATAGCGCGCGGATGTACCTTCGGCGAGTATTTCCACTACTTGGAATGTCTCGGTCGTTTCTATCGACGACGAGCTTGCCAGCGCTTCCCGCGATCGACGGACCTCGTATCGGACAGTCATGTGTGTCACACTTAATGCGCGAACAAGCTCGAAATAAACGTGTGGAAACCACATTGGAAGCGTGCGCGCGCGCGCGAGATCGCTTTTCCGTTGCGAGCACTTCCACATCGGCGAGCGGCGACGAATTAAACGGAGCTTAATCGCGCCTTTTATTCTAAAAATATCGAGTCGGCGGCCAGGCCGACTCTTCCGATTAAGGCTCCGTCTGGCCGATCACATTTTCGCCCGACCTTCCGCGATGTGAAAGTATCGTCATGCGATTTATATTTCACCGCGTCGCTCGCGTCGGGCTCCGTGGTATTTTTTACCGCTACGATCGAGATCGTTTATGCGCATAATTATAGTTAAAAAGTTGTGCTTTCGCAACCACGGGATTATCGGCGAAAATATTTCTCATTTATGCGCCGCGGGAGAATTGCCTTCATCGAGAGAGAGAGAGAGAGAGAGAGAGAGAGGAGGGGGGGAGGAGGGAATGAATCTCAATGCGTTCGATTGATTAAGTCATACTTTTGTCGGAACGAAAAAGCCCGACCGACCGTAGTTTTTTTTTTTCTTTTATTGCCAAGCGCGCGACTATCGGTATTTAATAAAATGTACTTCTCCAATTACGAAATTGCATTCTGCAACGATTGATCCGTCGCGGATTCATTGCGGAAAAAAAGAGTCGCCGCATCAAATGCAATTTCATGCATATCCCCCGTTCATGTTTGCCGGATAAATTATCCGCTGAAAACAATTACGCACTTTTCGGTACTCTCCGGACTGAAACGAGAGAAAAAGGGGGAAGAAAAAATACGCGATAAAAGCATAGAACGCCCATATTTTTTTCCGATTCAATACTTCGCTTACCACTTGAAAGTTATTTTTTAACAGAAAGTCGAGCACCAACTGTATCAACTCGCGAACATTCATAACCGAGACAAATCAAATAAATAATAATCTTTTCGGCCAGATCGGAACCAACTGATCTTCTTGGAGAACGCGACATTAACGCGACACCCCTTTGTACACCCACTCATACTAATACACACATACACCTCCCCCCTCTCTCTCTCTCTCTCTCTCTCTCTCTTTCTTCCTCTCGAACTATTTCGATATACGTGTAACTTTATCTGAAGAAGCGCTCTTTCCGCGGCCGCGATGTACTCCGCAAGAATTCAATAAGTCGAGAGACGACGACGACGAGGACGAGGACGAGGACGAGGACGAGGACGACGACGACACCGCACCTCGCTGCGCGGCATCGGACGTTAAGTCGATAACGGCCAATAATAAATGTCTCTCTGTGTATGGCAGCTTCGCGAGCCTCCGCGATTTTCACGTATGGAGCGACGTTAAATTCGGAGCATCGATAATCGAACTCGGAAACGGCCCTCCGCCGAGATCGAGGCATTGTGTGCCGCTCTCTGCCTTTTCGCTACGCGCTACGTGTGTGTGCGCGCGCGCGCGCGCGCGTATCACAACGCCTCGTATATAACCGTGCAGGCAGGAGCACGGAAAGCCGCGCTGCTCCCCCGTGAGGCTCATTAATTATAATTAATATCGCTGTCGATAATGGCACCGGCGTTCCGTATAATGCCACGGCGTACATACACCGCCGTGAAACGCCTTCGCTTTATGCACGAGGGTGGTCCGCCGCGAGACTGGTTTTCGCGAGAGAGCGATCGTGATCGATATCATATCGGCGCGCATCCGTTTAAGCTGAGGAAACGCGGCGTCGATCGCGCGTCATCGGTGATTGTCGCGACAGAACGCGGTCCTTTAGCCAGCGTCAGGAAAATACGTATCTATTTGTCCGGCAATTAACCATTCGCAGCGCCGTTAATTTAATGTTCAATTGCAACGCGCGCAATGTTTACATAAGTAGACATATATAAATAAGTAATTAATAAATAGTGAAAATTATTGACAGGTACACACATGCGCGCGCGCGCGCTCATACACGTCGGAAGCGAATTTAAATTTTCTTTTGTAAACCATAATAATAAAATTAATGAATAACGCAATTCTCCGTAGACTCGCGCGCGCGCGCGCGCGCTGCGTTCACGGCTGGCAGATACAAACGCGAGCTTTTACACGGCGCTGCGCGCAGCTGAGAAGCGTAAAAACGCGCGTCCGCGGCGAGGATAAATTGTTCTCCTCTCGTCTAACGATTTGGAGGATCGCGCGATATTAAGAGCTAATTCGCCGCTCGGACAGGTGTAAGAATCGATGCCCGAGGGGCGGCCGCGCTCTACGGGAACATCCCGACGTGGATTGAGCGTCGATCATTATACGCGCCGTGGTTGTAAATCGTCGTTACGAATCAATTGGCCGTCGAGCGTGACTATTCGCGGATGCAATTAACCAGCGGCGGGAAGCGCGATTCGGACCGGTCGGCCCGTTGACGGAAGGTATATCTGGGGCGTTTCCCCCCCTCCCCCCGACGTAGTCGCGACGACGCTCTCGCAGCGTGTCTCGATTTTTGTCACGGCCGAGCTCGCCCGAGCGGATTCTCGCGCCGCGCCGGAGCGCGGATTCTCGCGCGCGCGGCAGAGGCGAAAGTCCTCCGCGCGAAGGATATTCTTTCCGGAAGAAATGGTGCTCGCAATTATAACGACGTGTGTCAGCTGTGTGTTGCAGCCCGCTCTCCGCATCGCAGCTCCGTTTCCGCGAGGGAGAAAAACGCGAAACGGGGAAGAACGCCTCCCGTCGATTTATGCAGCCTTAAACGTACAAATCGGCGCAACGCGGCGCTGCCAGGTGAGGAGCACCGACGTGGATTAAACGGCGCTGATTATATGCATCTCGGTTGTAAATCGTTATAAATTAATCGGCCGTCAGGTTCACCCCCCTCCTCCCCCCCCGCCCTCTTCCCTTCGCGCGTCTATCGGCGGCAGGTACGAAGCGCCTCGGAAGAGGGATCGATTCGCCGAGCATCGATCAGAATCCTCGTACACTTCTTGACCTTTAGCCGCCGCTAAATCGGTTAGCCTGAAATGAGTTGTTTCTCTTTTTGCGCGATGGAAATCGAACTACGTGCGGCTCTGCGCCGTGTGTGAGAATTTCAGCATACGTGAGAGAAATGTTTCTGTTCTATTCACGAAGAAGCAGGGTTGCGGGAGGGGGGGCAGGTGTGGAGAGGAGGGTATTCGTTACCGTCGAGCCTCTTGACCTTTCGTTGATAGTGGATCGATGTATCCTCCCTCTCGCTCTCTCTCTCTCTCTCTCTCTCTCGCTCTTTCTCTCGCTCTCTCTCTCTCTCTCTCTCGGCTTCCGATGAATCCGCGATTAGAAAAATCGCGCGTGCGCGCGCGCCTCTTGATGGATCGATAGCCTTGATCGATCAAACGTTGGCCCGCATACTTTTCGTAATTGCCACGGCGCGTATGAAATAACTGTACTAATGGCGCTGCCCGGTACGGGCTGATTATTAATAGCCGCGATTAACTTGACACCGGTATCTTATATCAAAGCTCGTTTAATCAGCGCTGCGTATTCGAGCAGCGCGCGATCGGGCGCGAGCGAGCAGCAGCGGGATCCGAACGAACGGAACGTTGCGCGAACGCGGCGAGTACAAAAGCTGCCCTGACGAAACGGCCATTTCACCGCGGCTTTCTCGCTCATTGTAGAACGCGGAAACGCAAGGATAACACACACGCTACGTCGGCCTTTATACGTCGCCGAGAGGAACGACGCGCGCAATCGCGCGGGAGCGTGTGAAAATTCGGGAAACTCGGAGGCGCACGCGACGAAACGAAAGTAGAGAAAAGCAGAGACAGGCCGGGGAGCGAGAAGCCGAAATGGCAAGGCGCGAACGTCCCGTTATTTGCCATCATGAACATCAGGCGAAGGGATCGTCGTCCAATTTGCAAGCGGCAACACACACACACACACACACACACACACAGGCAGAATTCGCATTCGACGGAAATATTTGATTCTTCTTTTCCTTTTGCGCACAGGCGAATCCATGTCAACATCCGATCGTGATTCTGAGGGACGTGGCGTCGTCCGACATGGAGTCGATACTGCGCTTCATGTATCACGGAGAGGTGCACGTGGGTCAGGAGCGGCTGCCTACCTTCCTGCAAACAGCGCAGATGCTCCAGGTCCGAGGACTGGCGGATGTCAACAGCGGCGCGGCCACCGCGAAAATTCCGCCGCTGCCGTCGTCGGCCGGCAACAACGGTAGCGCACCTGTAAGTTGTCTCCGGCAGTTTAATATGGAAGTTGGGAAATTAATTATACGAATTATACGGCTGGTTTCGAACTTTTAATTAATTTAGCCTTAATTAAAACGAATTTTAATTAATGTGCTTTTAACACCGCGCCTCCGCCGCCGCACCGTCGTCGTCGTCGTCGTCGTCGTCGTCGTCGTCGTCGTCGTCGTCGTCGTCGTCGTCGTCGTCGTCGTCGTCGCCGTTGCCGTCGTCGTCGTCGCCGTCGCCGCCGTTGCCGCCGCCGCCGCCGCCGCCGCCGTCGCCGCCGCCGCCATCGCTACCGCCGCCGCTGTCGCCGTCGCCGGTTGCCGCCGCCGTTGCCGCCGCCGTCGCCGCCGCCGCCGCCGTCGCCGTCGCCGTCGCCACGGCCGGCCGGCCTGTGTGACAGGCGGAATCCCGGCTAGGATTCTCGCGCTTCGTCCTTTAGCTTCTCATTTCGCGGCTTATATAATAGAAGTTAGACAAATATTACGCGCGGCGGCTTTAATAACGGGCTCTCCGGGTTTCGCTGATCGGCGCGGATTAACTGACTCGTCGAGCGAGTCGCGCGAGTCGGTCGCGGAATGCGCTCACACGAGAGAGCGATTTTTGCCTATCACCCGGCTTGTCTTTCATTTCATCAGGCGACACCCCGTAATCCTTGGCAGGACACCGCTAGAGATCTCAACGAGGACGGCATGAGCCCGACGCCAAACAAGAGAGCTAGGAGCTACAGTCCGACGATGGCCAACCATGTCGAACATAAATCGGATCTTCAAGAATCCTTGCTCGGTCAAGCTCTCGAAGGCGGTCCCACAATACACACGGCACCTAGTAACAACGTACAGGTGAGCGAAAATCCCCCCGCCTCGCTCATATGAGCCGTCTATCGGGTGAGTGCAAAGAGTATCCATCGACGGCTTTCGCGAGCGAGCGAAAAATGGACCGAGTAATTTCACGAGGAACGCGACTCGTTCGTTCGTTGAAACTACGAGTTTTGCAACGGTGAGAGAATTATACGTCCGCGTTATATCTCCGAGTGTTGCCGCAAGATTGGATCAGTCAGCGGAGGAGACATCTTGCGGGGGGGGGTGGGGGAGGGGGGCAAAGCCGCCGAAGCTTTTGCACTCGCTCGCATGCGGCCGAAGATACGCGTACCGGGAAATTTTCTCTTGGACAAAAATACACTTTCCGAGTCCCGTCGTTGCAAAAGTCACGTGTAATTTGCTCAACAACTCCGCAAGCTCCGCAAGCGTCGAAATTACACACGGGGGGAGGCGAGAATTCGCGCGCCATTATCATTATCGCGTCCGCCGCAACGATCGCTCGTGGTTTCCGGCGGCGGACCTCGCGCGTTATTGCGTTATCGAGATTCATCGGGGCTCATCGGGATCTCATTTGTGTCCAGGCGCAATCGACCGGCGACGACTCGAACTCCATATCCGACAACGAGGAGGACGTGTCGAACAACGACAGCATTCTCAACTCCGTAAAAACCGAGCCAAGTGATATTCTAAACGACGCTATGGAACACCATCGTACCAACTTCCCCACGGCGCTGCTGAATCTCCAAGGTAATTATTCGACCGCTCGCGACCTCGCGCGCGTTGATATTTACAACGCGCAGTATTTGGCGTGCGCGCGCAGCAAATCGCGGGACTTGCGGGAATTCGTGGGGATTTGGCGATAGAAGCACTCGTCGCCTCGAGACCTACGGGAAGGCGGGAAGACGAAAAGCAAATGCGGTACACTTGGTACTCTCGCGCAGCGGCTGATTCATATCGACGGCGGCTTGCGTCAATCTCACGAGCAGCAGACGCTCGTTAATTCGCGCGAGATAGGCCGAAATGTAACACACACGCGACGAAGGAATCCCGTTGACGTTGAACGCCGCCGCCGCCGCCGCCGCCGCAACGTCGGGAGAATGCAAATCATCAGCCACCGTGTTTTTCCTTCTTCCCTTTAAATTAATAGTTGCATTTAATTACTAATTACATTTGAAATTAATAATTAATTTGCCGCCTAGTTACTAATTACTTTCGTAATTAACAATTAGGCCGGCTAACTAATTACTAATTACTAATTACGGCTTTAATTAAAATTAATTAATGAATAATCACAATTATTTCCATTTGCGTATGTAATTCCATTGTATTCCTTGACTTGCGAGAGTGCGTTATTATACTACTACGAATCTATTATTAAGCGTAACGAACTAACGTGTTATTAATATAATTTGATTTTGTTTGCTCGCGCATCAAGCCGGGGGGGGAGGGGGGGGGCCGCTCGCGACGCGACGGGGCGCGGCGCGCGCGATTGAAGCGGCCGGGATGATGCTGCTCGGTAAATATTTGCGAAATAATCGACAACGTAATATTTTTCGCGCGCGACGACCCACACGGCGGTGACCACGGCAGGGGGGGAGGGGGGAGGGGCCGGCCGTGCTCGGAGCGGGGCCGGTTTCTCAACCGCGCGGCAGCTCGCCTACCTCAATTCAGCAGCTCCTCCATTCGTGAATTACAGGACTGATACCAGGCCCATCTGGGATTCACGCGGCCGCTCAGGACTCGAACTACGGTAAGTGAGAGCCAAATCGCAAAACAGTTTCGATCTCATGACCTTTAAACGTTCTCGAAGCCCAGACTAGTATCCTTCCTAGTCGTTTCCCAAGACTCTGGTCTGTCGTTGTTGCGTTGAATGCATGGAACTCTCGTACCTCTCACAACCCTGCATCCCCTGCCGGCTACCCCCCTCTTATCACACGGTGAGCAGCGTATATTGTGGAGTCGCACCTCGACGGCTCTTCAAGTTCGTTACTGCGGCGTATCTTACTTGCCAGAGACGCAAACCCCTTTCACACCCACGCAATTACTTTTAGGTACGAAAACGAGCTTCACGTCGCGGGCACGAGCTTCGTCCCGCGACGTCTTCATCCTCCCCCCCCCCTCCCTCCTCCCCTTTCGTCATTCACACACACGTCTGTGGCCACGACGTGAGGCTCATTTTCGCGGCGCGAACATTGCCCCCGGGGAGTTGCGGCAAATGTGTGAGATCGGTTCGCGTCTCGTAACTTGTTATCACTCACTGACGGAATCCTGGAATAGGGCGCTCGATCGTCTTCAGGATCGCCATGCGAGAATGTATCATGTATCGAACGATAAAAATCTGAGCCTCGATGAGCCTTGTTATCGATGTAGTGATTTTACTCGATCGGCGACATTCCACACTGAGTTTGGATAAGAGTCGGAAAAACAAAAATGCTGCGATTCGAGAAAGTGATTCGAGTGATCACGAAGAGGAGACGAAGTAGGGCGCACAGGAAGGCGCCAGGAACGATTGCCGTGCCTAACCTCGCACAGTGCGAAGGATCGATGCTTGATCCTAGGTTTAGGGAGAGACTCGTTTGGGGAGGGAGTCGTCGAGGGCGAGTTGTCCTTAAGACCTGGAAGCTCACTGTCGCGGAAAAGCGCTGCGAGAAAGGGCTGCGAGAGGCTACAAACTAGAAAAAAACTAGAAAAAGAAAGAGCGAGATTGAGAATAGTGTTTAAGGGATCATACGAGGTTGCCTGAGGACTGACATTGGCTGGTGGTTCCAGGGCGGTGGCAGCCCTCTGGAGGAGATGGTTCAAGCTCGAGTTCCGGTTGGCTGCCGGGTACATCCTCCACGAGGAACGAGCACCCCGGGTCTGGAACTTATCAGAGCGGTGGTCACAACTCGAAAGGTCAGGACCTCTCGGCCCTCCTCCAACATCACCATCACCACCAGCACCATCATCACCATGCCACCAGCCAACAGTCGTCGCAGCAACACGCCCTCAATGCCCTCAACAGCCTCAACCCTGAGCAACTGACGATGATGCATCAGAAACTGAACAACTTCCAAAGCCTGCAGCAGAGCGGCGCCGCAAAGGGCGATCAGCTGAATCTGATGTTGCAGTCCTGCGCGAAGGACAAGATTGAGAGCATGGCGATGCTTCATCAACAGACCCAGAGGCGGTACCATCAGCAACATCAGTTGGATAACGCCAACCACACTGGCAAGCCCAAGTGTCCCGAGTGCGGCAAGATCTACTCGAACAATTCCAATCTCAAGCAGCACATCGTCAACGTGCACACCGTGCAGACCGAGTACATCTCGTGCCACGTGTGCAGCAAGCAATTTAAGACCAAGCAGTACCTGCAGATCCACCTGCTCTCCATGCACGGCATCCGAAAGCGAAAGAGCTACCCCCTGTACCAGGTGCAAACGCATGTGCAGGCGCAGCAGCAACCCTCCTCCCTGCAGCAAACCTCTCAGGTTTCCGCGGGCCAAGCGAGTTCCGCGCAACAACAATACGCCACGGCGGATAGGTGGCCCGACGACAAACAGTGATCCGGAAATTGAACGGAATCGCGCGAATCGCGCTCGTGCGACGCGTGACTGTGTTTCCCGCGAGGAAACACCGAAGGGGTGCGCCCTCCAACGCGGTATGCCCGAGCATATTCGCGATTCAAGGATCATCTCCGTTGAGAGAGCATCATCGCCGCTGCGTCGAATCGATCGTGCGGCTAATCACCTCGCCACAGCGCCTCGCCGTTATCGCGCGTCGTACATCACGGAGACGCCGATCAGTCGACGCGTGCTTTTTGTGTGTCTTTCGACGAGAGTGAGACGAATACTGATCGCCGGCACCGGGTCGCGCGGTGCTGCGACCGCGCTTGTTAATGTTGATGTATATATTTATATATATATATATATATATATATACACACATACATGTATATGTAGTAGGCGATATACCGGAGGAAAGTGCGTCGATCCGCCTGATGCCTGATACTCGCTAATAGCGTGGAACGAAGGTGCGTGCACAGTCCTATTAGTCAGCGGCAATACGGAGCAACGGTCTTGAACTTTAGTCTCCCCAAACGATCTCATAGAGTGTGATTCGCTCGGATGTGTTGGACGGGCGAGCTGCGACGACGCGAGCGTTCTGCCCCGAAAGTCAAGCTCCGACGTCAAGCGTCGTCGGGGCCTTCTCCCCCGTTGGGGGCCGCGTGCGCTTCCCGCAGCTGAGGAAGAGATATTATATTTCCCGGAGATTTTTCCTCGTTTTCTTTTTTTTTTTTTATTTTAATACTCAGGCGGGGATGTGTGAAGAGAGAGAGAGAGAGAGAGAGAGAGAGAGAGAGAGAGAGAGAGAGAATTACTTGTACACTTGCGTATAAGAGGCCGGACCCCGCAAATTCCCGCGAGCGGAATTTGATCGATCTCGCCGATTAGCGATTGCGACCGCAGCATTAACGCTTCCCTCCCGATCTCGCTGCTTTATCAACCGGTAATCTGATTTGTTGTAAATATTTATTATCGTGTACACACACACACGTCGGTGGGAGGTCTCACCGCGCGCGCTCCTCGTATATCTCCGAGAGATTACGCTCTCTCTCCGAGAGATAATCCGATACACTTAGCCGGTAGATCACAAATTCACATTTACACATCCGATATTCTGAGGCATTAATTTTCGCATAATTTCGTCGAATAATTCGATTGCACATTCCACCTCTCGCTGTCGGCGCATCAGCGCCGGTTAAGTTTGACCCTGAGCGCGCGTCGAAAGGGCCGCGCCTAAGCGATCGAAGCTCACTCGCAGATATTCGTTTTTTTATTAGACCTCGGATAAGGGTGCGGAGGTGTCGATAGGTAAGGCGGAGGTGAAAGAGGGATACTGGTACGAGAATTGGCCGACCTATTTTTGTCCCGTACCGCAGTGCGCAGTTCACCCTTCGCGGCAACGATAAGCAGGCCTCCTCGATTGGTCGGGTGAGGCAGGACGGGGGCAGTGTGAGAGAGAGAGAGAGAGGGGGGGATAGAGAGAGAGAGAGAGAGAGAGAGAGAGAGAGAGAGAGAGAGAGAGAGAGAGAGAGAGAGAGAGAGAGAGAGAGACAGAGCTGGAGAAAGCTTCGCGCGAGAGAGCTTTCTCGTGAAATTCTTCGCGGTATAAATAGTGCGATAAGTAAAGTGGTATGACCGGCCCCGTTTCTTGAAAGGCAGTCCGCGTCGTGAAGCCACCCTCTCTCACGGTGTATTCACCCTTTGTGGAATTGGCGGCCTTTATGGGAGAGTCGGGTGGAATGAAGGATTATGTGGAAATGGGTAGGAAAGCCGGAGATACCGACTCCCACCTTGAAGAGCCATCGTGATTAATTTCGTCTTTCTTGCACACACATCGCCTCTCTTCTGTGAAAAGACTTTTCAACTCGCACGTGTGAAGCGTGCGTCTCGAGATGGGGCTCGACGGAAATCCGTCATTTAGTTTCGAGTAAAGAAAGTGAGAGAAAGAGAGAGAGAGAGAGAGAGAGAGAGAGAGAGAGAGAGATTGCACGTTTATGTTTAAATATTCAGATCATGGGTCTCGTTATCTCTCTCTCTCTCTCTCTCTCTTTCTTCTTCGACGAGCCCGAAATTTCCGCCCAGAAACTCGCATAAGCAGGACTTGGCGAAGTTACTTTGCATAGCTATCGGAAATGAAGCCACACGCTAGTTGCAATCTCATGACAGTAATACATCATAACTGGCATGACTGATGTACGCAACATGACGATCGTGTAATTAATCATGAGATTCCAGCCGATCATCGCTGTAATGATGTCAATTTACCACGTGAACAAAAGGACAATCGTGAAAGGGAGCAATTCCGAGCCCGGCTCGTTCGTCGCGTTTAACTCGCGACTGTTTCTCGCGTAGAAAAGAAGCAAAAAAAAAACAAAAAGGAAGAAGAAGAAGAAGAAGAAGAAAAAGAGAGAGAGAGAAAAGGGGAAATACAATCGGACGGACACTCTCATCGCGGATAAAGATCGGCGCAGCATCACCTCGCCACTCGTGACGTCTATCGGGAACATGAACGTGTACGTATGTCACGCACGCTATCGTCCGCGCGGTATCACAGGGGAGAAAGAGATAGGATACGTCGTATTGATCTCGAGGATTCAACAAACAGCACCTAGTACCTCCCGCACGTTCCTCTCTAACTCTATCTTGCTCCTCCACCCGGTGCCAGTCCCGCCCTCATTCCCGCTCCCTCTTTCCTTCGTCGATACCTCTCTCCCTGTCTCTCATCGTGTTCCATACCATTCGATTCGCCCTCGCGTATAGGGTTTGATGAGGGCAAGCAACCCCGCTCGCGGACGATAATCGCAATTCCATTGTCGGGCTTTCGATCGCCGTCGGACTCGTCGGTCCCGACGATTCTTCGCGCAAGGACCCGTCTCCTTCCGCACTTTCGCTGCGACGGGAAATCAGCCCGGCGAATCGTATCGCCGGGTGATATCAGGGAAAATAAATTGCGCCATCGCGAGATTTTCCTCGATTTTCATGCAATATACATATACATGTACGCGCATACACAGGCACAGAAACGCGACGAGGATGTCGATATAATTAATCGGCACTAATAACCAAAAAAAAGAAATATATATATATATATATATAAAGATATTCTTTTCTAACGCACGTCGAGAAAAGAAACGCCGAAGTATATCTTTGACATCGTCGGGGACAACGGGGTGCGTCAAAACGACGTCCTTACGACCGACGAGTG